CTTCAAAGGATGGGGGAGAGAATCAGAAAAGCAAAAGTGAGAAAACTTGTGGGTCAAGATTAAGACAGTTTAATAAGTGAATGAAAGAAATAAAAAAGGTTGCGTGAAGGCAGTCATTCACCACCTCCCGCAAGCAGATGGAACACCATACATTTCACTAATTCTTATCAACTAGATCTCCATTGACTAGTAAGGAATGCAAGAGCAGCTTGCTGAGAACTAGATCCCTACACTGGAGAACCTTTGTTTTGTTAGCACAATTTCAATTTGGAGAGAAAAAAACAGATTAGGCACTTATGAGACATCTACATGGACCTAGTAATTGAATTTGTGTGTATGGGTGAGGAACACAGAATGAAACAGGAAGAAAAAACTTTTACGGTGATTGAAGATCGTGTATTAATACATTTTAAAGGGAAAGGGGAGAGAGGAATGAAGTGCTCGTCCAAGAAGCAAATTAAAGATTTATTTGTTAATTTAGAGACATCTTGCTTTACTCTATAAAAAACAGAATTTTGAGAAACACAGACAAATTAGGTAGAGACTACCAAAAACATGAAAGCTCAAATTTCTTAACCGTCTGTGAAGGTATATAACAAACTTCAAGACTGGATGACAAACTTCATTCTATATTCAAAGGTTATTTTTCAACTGTAAGTATCAGAGTAAGAATAAGAATTCTACATCTGAAAAATAAAGTGTTGAGCTCTATATTATTAATGATCGTTTGCTGTGCTGGAACTAATGAAGCCTTGTTTCTTTTCCTGGTTTTGACTTGCGGCAGACTCACTTTTCAGTCTGAGACCGTGCAAGCTCCAGTTGAATCTTTCCAGCAATTGGTACCTTTGAAAGGGTGGGTTGCTTTTTTTTTTGGGGGGGGGGTTGCTACACAGATTATTTAATGCCTAATAATGTATGAGTTTCTATTATCACTTTTTAGAACTTTTAGGGTCTGTTTCAACTGGCCATTTTCATACAACTGTGGTGGGTTGACCTTGGCCGGGTGCCAGGTGCCCACCAAGCTGCTCTGTCACTCCCCTCCTCAGCAGGACAGGGGTGGGGGAAAGAATAAGATGGAAAAAACTCGTGGGTCAAGATAAAGGCAATTTAATAAAGCAAACGCAAAGGCTGCATGCGGAAGGAAAGGAAAACAAAAAGATTTATTCTCTACTTCTCATCAGCAGGTGATGTCCAACCACTTCCCAGGATGTGTAGTGGTTGCTCCAGAAGGCAAATGTCATAATAACAAATGCCCCCCTCCTCCTCTCTCTTAGCTTTTATTGCTGAGCTGATGTCATATGGCATGGAATATCCCTTGGCCAGTTTGGGTCAGCTGTCCTGGCTGTGTCCCCTCCCAAGATCTTGCCCACCCCCAGCCTACTGGTGAGGGGGGAATATTGAAGAGACAGCCTTGATGCTGTGCCAGCACTGCTCAGCTGTAGCCAAAACATTGGTGTGTTATCAACACCTTTCTAGCTACCAATACAAAGCAGGGCATTATGAGGGCTGCCATGGGGAAAATTAACTCCATTTCAGCAGAACTCAGTACAACAATCTGTAGAAACATAATGATCTTAGACACTTCTTTCTCCATCTTCTGTGGAATTAGCTAAAGGACTCTAAAATTAGAGGACATACAGACACCATTTAAGTATTGTTTCAATAGATGAATTGGACAGAAGAGTTCAGCAGTGAATTTTGGGACTCATGAATTAAGATTAATTTGGCATTTTTAGCAGACAATGAAACTATAGGAACACCTTGAGAATGACTGTTTCAACAATGAGTCTTTCATCACAAATACCAAGCAACACAACATGACAATCCCATGCCCTTCCTTCCCATCTCCCTACAGTTCTTCGTCTCCTCTCCCCACCCCAGTACCAGATCCGTTAGTTGCACTGAATGCTATCAATCAATGGATTCCCTCTGAATGGTCAAATATGACTTGGGCATGTTTAAAACAAGTTTCAAAAACATTTGAAAAGCAACATGAGAAGATTCAATCTCTGCAGAAATTATTACACAACTTCTTACGGATTCTTTGATAATTATTATATTCTTTATTGGATAACATTGTGAGACGGTAAGGATAGTACCTTAGGCACAGGGGCATATGGTTTAACCTTAGATCAGTCTTAGGCAAGGTAACATCTTACCTTCTAAAGATCCATTCCTTCCACACTGTACACAGAAGTAAAGGCAATTAAATACTCAGGTAGCATGTCTTTCTTGTACACCATTCCTAGATTCTGTCACCACAGAACATAGTTTCTAGTTTATGTGTGTCATGATGGAAGATATTTAAACCTAAACCAATATATGAGCTCAAGTGTTTCAGTTTTCAAATAGCTGACTTGAAGGTATCTTACTGGAGTTTGAAGGCTTAAGTCACATTTAGAAACTAACAGTTTTTGACCCTGAACATCAGAAGATGAATTCTAATATCTCTTTAAAACTTTGTCCAAACTAAAAGATGTCATAAGAACAGCTATTCTGAAATACCCTATAGTTTTATAAAAGACTTTTTGGGAGCAAACATTATCTGCATACATTGATTGCCAGTATTTCTATTAATTTGCTCTTTTGTTTTTCTCCCTTGTAAGGCAGACACCAAAACCTGTTGTTGCATAGGAATTGTCCAGAAACAATTTCTGAAAATCCTGTGAGGAGCAGTTATGAGCCTTATCTTTGTTGCAGTCACTATGACACACTAAGGACAGCGACTTTCCTCTTTCCTTCCTTCCTTTACAAAGGGAAGGAGCTGTATAATCAGAAATTTAGATTAGAAGTTGGAATACAGACATATTACACCAGATCAGAGCAGTTGCCAACCTGAAAAGTCTGAACATGGCCAATGCCAGATGAGTAAGTAATCCCACAGTAGCAAATTGTGAAAAACACAGCTCACTTGGAAGGTCTGTCTTAATTATGCTTAAACTACTGGACTGCTCTCTACCTTGGAGTATGCAGCTTTCATCACTCAGAAAACTGTTGCATACGAACACGAGCCCAGATTTTTCCATATACTCCATAACTCAAATGTATTTCCATATACTTGAATTTACTTAAACCTGTTGCTGCAACACCAGATGACACTGTGCTCCGCATGTCAGTTATCACTAGTTACTAATTTTTTCCTACCATTGTTCAAATTTCTGCTTTTCATTCTGTTACAGAACTTCTTGTTTTATTTTGTGGGTGGCAGGAAACAGACACAATAAGACCTCTCAGAATTTGGGGTCTTCTCCCTTCATGCTATATAATAAATGTGACTTTTAATTTTCTTGTACAACCCTCTCTGTGAAAACACTAAAGGATATTCCCGGTAACTGGAAAGCTTACAACACTAGCAAAAGAGCTAATGCAAGCAGGGTCTAAATAAATACGTTGTGTTCAAGTTAAAGTACCACAAACATGATAAAATGCTTTGATATCTAACTCTCCTCCTTTCCCATCCCCTAAAATCATTCTGAAATCTTGAGAAGCAGTGAAAAGAGAGAAAGAAAAAGCAGGTCAGCAGGAGGGAAGAGTTTCAATGTATTTGTTTTTTAATAGCATAAAATAAAGATAAAATTATTTCTGGAATACTTAAGGATAATATAGAAAAACAAAACCAATATTTTCTGTCTTCACTAGATCTTCTTAAATTTTTCTGTTACATTAAATTACTTCTTGGTACAAGGAAAAAAACCAAGAAAATCCTGGCTAAAGCTACCAGCAGTGCAGAACTGTTGTATAACTTAGTATTTTTTATGCATTTCAACATACTGTTATTAGCAGCATTTTAACTGCAATTGTAGTATACACACATACCAGTGAGAAATTAGATACTTTACAGTGTTATGGTATTAAGGTTCTTAAAGTTAAATCATGCCAATGCAGATGTTCCTAATTACTTTAAAAGCACAAATACTTACACAAACCGGTTGTTTCCAGCTCCAGCATAATTAAATTAAAGGAGTACTTATAATTTAACAACATGAATGATAGTTAAGCGTAGTTAATGTGGGAAATTGTTAAGAAATAATGCATAGTTTACATAAGGGAAGGAGTTAAAGTCCATCTGAGGCAGATAAGAAGTTGTGATTTGCCTGAGATAAATATAAAATACTGCCAGAAGAAGGTGACACTATCAAAGACACATCAAAAACTGAAAAAATCATTTATTTCTCAGTAGCAATCACTTTACAAACACAAATTACTGCGACTTTAGGTTTCTGCAGGTCATTGTTCAGGCTTTTGGTTTTGGAAGTTTTTCTTTTTCCTTTTTTCTTTTTTAAGCTGCCAAATGCAGTCTAGCTCCACCCCTACTTCGTATTGCTGCTTGAAAAGAGACGTGGTAGGTAGTGTAATGCAGCAGTAAATCATCACAGACATTGAAGTACGCAAGCCACAGATGCAGGCAGATCCTCCAGATCCTCTCCGTGGGTAACGTCTGTGCCAGAAGCACCCATTATACCCAGAAAATTGTTAATTTTTCCTGCTTCACTTGGGCTTCCACAGGTAACAGTACAATGCCAATGTTTACTCCAGAACATTGTCTTACAATGCAATTATCATGGAGATAAATTTTGTTTACCTTTTGAAATATGGAAAGGTGGTCATTTAACTGATAAAACATTGTATGTAACCATATGCTGTGTGACTAGAGTTACTGCTCTCTTATCATCTCTATTAAGTCTTTGAAAAATTGTCAGAGGGATGGGATATGTAGTAAAGTTCCAGCTCACAGAAATTAGCTACAATAACACACGGCATTTCTATCCACATTTGCACATACACTATACACACATAAGAGTTAAGGCTATACATTTTTTCCCGATGATGTTGATTTAATCTAAATAAAATGAGATATATAAGCATGTCTTTTTTTTTAATCTAAGCTTTAAGATAATACTAAACAAGAAAGGGAAAAAAAAAGAAAAAAGTAAAAGAAGACCAGACCAGTTGAGCATGACCAGATTTCAAAATATGAATCTGAAATGAGTTAATTGTACCTTGAGTCACCTGTTGGACGGCTAGCGTCATCCCAGAAACCGTATCAGGAATCAAATTTTCCTTCCAATTGTAGACAGGCATCCATTTCAAGATGGGAAGCCTTCTCATACACCAGACTTTGACATCCTCAAAGCGAACAGCCTGGATCTTCCTCCAGACGGCACTTCTTTTCCTTTTTGCCCCTGTCATCATTCCCACTCCCCAAAAGCAGTTTCTCTTTCAGAAGAGCAAACACTTGAGGAATCACCCTGACCTGTGTCAGTCTCCAGTTTTCTTCTGAGATTTTGCAGTTCCAAAACTACAGAGAAAAAAAAAATTAACAGAAGCACTCAATATTTCTGCAGCTGCTCTCTAACTATACTCAATAAAAACACTTATTAAATGCCTCAATCATCTATACAGCTACATGGAATGCGAGTACAGTTTATAGCAAAGATCACATTTTCTGCTCTTTGCAAAAATTTGGTCCAGTCGCACGTTAGTTTGTGATTCTTTCCAGTAACCTCCTGCTTTATATTCCCTGTAATGCTTGTGCTTTTGGCCTCAGTCCAGTGGCAAAATGAGGTACGACTGGGTGTGCGCACAATATAGGCTGGGCTATGCTAACACGAGCGGGAAGTGCCCAGCGGAGCAGGCATCTCTCTGCCAAGCCCAGGAGAGCAGCCTTGGCTCTCCTGGGGGGAGCTTTGGCTGCTGTCGGGGGCCATGAAGTCCTCAGAAACCCTGGTGCTAGCAAACTTGTTTTACTCCATCCGTGTTTTGTCTTCTAAACGACAGTAAAAAGCTTATTTATGTAGAAAATTCAGAACACCAGGTAGCAATAAATCCTGCTGAAAACATACAGATTCTCTCTGGAGGCTGAAGCCTCAGACTAGAGTGCACCAAGCCCAAAGTGCAGTGAAGGACTGCAAGCTTCCAGCTCCACATGGGAAGTGCTGAAAACACTTGTGATGATCATTCTTCTCCAAAGCAACTGCTTCCTGCTCTTAGTCCACTCGGCAAAGGTTCTCTCAGTGAAGACAGTTCACCAAGTAACTTCTCATCTTGTAACAATTTCATGCACCTTGCGCATGACACAAAGTGCTCAGACACAAAGCAGTAAGAGCATGAAGAGGGTTACATGTCAAGACATTTAAATGCCTTGTCCAATATGGAGCAAAGACATGGTGGCATTCCTCTAAGTTTTTTGTACCTTTGGATGGCACAGAAATTTTTTAAAGTGTAAGATCCATCACATGGGTGAAGTGTCTTCCCAATTACTATTCTGCAGTAGGCAATAAAAATAAATACATTTTTTAAATATTTCAATTTCCTTTATATGAATTAATTTACCTTTTATTGTTTAGATTAAGAAGAACAAAACTGAAGCATTGTCCACTCAAAACAACTTTAGAAAAATGAGACTTTGTTTCCAAATGCAATAGCAAGGTCAAGGGCAAATGCACCCCAGTTCATTCTAGTGAGTGACATTCAGATTGCGTCCACTGTTCTGTCCCTCAGAAGTGCAAAAGCAAAAAAGAAAAAAAGAAATATCAGGAAAAGATTGCTTCAGAGAGACCTTCACTTTTAACTATTCCTTATTATTATTCCATACTTATACTTTGCCCTGCCCATCCTTCAACCATGTACACCTCCTAAAGAACAGAAGAAACACAAGACATGTTTACCTTACTTCTCTTCTCTGGAATAAACCTCTAAGCATTGATCTTTTTTTTTGGGGGGGGGGGGTAGTTTGTGTGTGTGTCCCTGCTTTTAGCTTGAAAGTGCAGCTCAAGGACCTCATAATCAAGGCTTTTATGCTTGCCAAGTGTTTCACAACACAGATCTTTCAGTGATCAAAACAGGACAGGAATCCTTCGAGCTGCAGTGAGAGTTACTCAGCTGTCAGGGGCTGCTTAGTTTCAGTAAAATGTTCAGTATCTCTAACTTTAACAGCATTTACTGGGGGAGAAAAAATCAAAATACAGTTCTACATATAGATATGTATGTATAAATGTATCCAAATTTGGGCACTTGTGCAATAAACATTAATCCAATTAAAAAAACAAAATCAACGTTCCCTAGAAACTCTGAATATTCTGAAACATTAAAAAAAAAAAACCCACGTTATGAAACCAAAGAACCATCACTAAACACACAAGAACATACTCTCCATTCTTCAAACTTCTCGCATCAAAGTGCTGAAGCTGTTTGAAAAAGTCTGTAATTGAGATTTTCCCACCTCATATTTGCAGAGTCAGTAAATTTGGACAGTTTTTATCAATCCTAGATTAGTATCTAACTAACTCCTAAGATTAGCCATTTCAACAGACTTTTGTCCACTGAGCATGCATGAGTGCAAACATCATAACTAACACTTGAAAATAAGCCCTGCTAGTTAGACACAACCAGAACTGCACATGCAAAGTCTTTGGGATGTCCACGCTGATATGGAATTTGTGCAGAAGTTTTACTCCAACAATTAACTTGAGTAAAAAAATTCCATCATCATTAAACCTGGAGTTGATAAACATCATCACTAGTCTTGAAAAACAGTGTTCCTTGTTGTAGCTTTGAAATACATAAAGGACTCATCGTTAACAATGACACAAAGCAACTTTATCATTTACAACTCCCCACACAAAGGAATCAAAATTTTTAAGAGAAAACAGATGTACAGGTATGCATAACAGCAATCCTACTTCTCATTACACAGTAGTCCAACCTTTGAATCTTAAGGAAACATCAAAAGCCACTTTCCTAAAACACATTAATATCCTAACTGAAACACCTACTGTGTCACACACATGATGTTGAAACACTTTCCCATCAGGTGGCTTTCATTAACCTATAAACCTACAATCTATAAACACCCCAAACTATGCAGACTTGTCATACTTCAAACTGTATCACAATATACATTAGCTACCAGGCCTGTCAGGCCCTCTCCTTTCCTGAAACAGGTATATAAAACGTAGTTGTCTGGAACAAAAACGGATAAGCGTGCGGAACCTCTGGTTTTATGCATTTGAGTCAATGTGTTCACGCACACATAGTTCATCTGTAAAGTTAGATCACTTACAGTGAGCTTATGTAAGTAAAGCTTATGTGTTTTTTTCTGGAAAATACCCAATAGTATGACTCTAATAGTGTACATATCTACAATGCTAAGAAGATAACCACCGTAAGTCAAAATTTAGAATACAGATAGTATACAAAAGGAAAGAATTATTGCATCATAGGTCAGATATGGTGGGCTTTTCAAACTTGGTTTGTAATAGATTCACAGAAAAATAAGGTAACCTCTGTGCGGGAAAATCTATATTTTTATCAGCTCTTCTAACAGTAACTTTACACTACACTTTTACATTATTGGCTATTTGCATACAAGGTGGATACATGGAGTTAGGAGTTTTGATTCTCTGGCTCTGGCCTCAAAGGATAAAAAAAATCTAACACCTTACTCCAACCTAGACCTCAAAGAGAAAAAATTCTGGCAAAATCTGAGATAGCAGTCCTAATCCCTGCTTCATACAGAAGTAATTTTACAGAAAATCACTGGACTCTTGCACAAGAACTCCTTTTAGTCTTCACATAAAAAGACAGGAAAGTTCAAGAACAATCATTGTGTTTACATATGCTCACAGTTACAGTTAAATTATTTGTACCTTAGGCAGACATAGATGCCATGATGGAAATAATATAGCTTGCTTTTTGTAAGTTTTCTCAAGAAGAAAGATCACTTATTGAATATCTGCAAACATCCAATATTAAACCAATTTGGACTAACTAAACCTGTATTCATATTCATAGAATCACAGAATCACAGAATGTTTTGGGTTGGAAGGGATCTTAAAAGTTCATCTCGTCCCACCCCCCCTGCCATGGGCAGGGACACCTTCCACTAGATCAGGTGGCTCAGAGCCCCATCCAACTTGACCTTGAACACTTCCAGTGATGGGGCATCCACAACATCTCTGGGCAACTTCTTCCAGTGTCTCACCACACTCAGTAAAGAATTTCTTCCTAATATGTAATCTAAATCTACTCTTTTTCAGTTTAAAACCATTACCCCTTGTCCTATTGCTGCACTGCCTGATAATAAGCCCCACCTCACTTTTTCTGTAGGCCCCCTTTAAGCACTGGAAGGCTGCAATAAGGTCTCCCTGGAGCCTTCTCTTCTCCAGGCTGAACTGTCCTCAGAGAAGAGGTGCTCCATCCCTCTGATCATTTTGGTGACCCTCCTCTGGACCCGCTCCAACAGGTCCATGTCTTTCCTGTGCTGAGGGCTCCAGAGTTGGATGCAGGACTCCAGGTGGGGTCTCACCAGAGCACAGTAGAGGGGCAGAATCCCCTCCCTCCACCAGCTGGCCTCGCTGCTTTGGATGCAGCCCAGGATAGGGTTGGCCTTCTGGGCTGCGAGCGTCCATTGCTGGCTCATGTCCAGCTTCTCATCCACCAGTACCCCCAAGTCCTTCTCAATAGGACTGCTCTCAATCCACTCATCATCTAGCCTGTATCAATGTTTGGGATTGCCTGCACCTGGGTGCAGGACCTTGCATTTTGCCTTATTGAACTTCACATTTGCATGGGCCCACCTCTCTAGTCTGTTGTGGTCCCTCTGGACAGCATATCTTCCCTCAACCACACCACTCAGCTTGGTGTCATGCTCCTGTGTTCCTGTTGTTTTGCATGATTTGTTCCCCAAGAACATCCAGTTCATCCAACTCACTTCCCTGTGTTCTCCCATCTACCCTCACTGGGCAAGGGAAAGTACATGCTATCGTTAATCCAAAGCTACGTGCATCTTGCTGGCTGGCTGACCAGCCACCGCCCAGCTGAATATACAATGATTTAGGTCTCAACTTTTCTTCAGTGGTGTAACAAATTTCCATTCATCCTTGTCCTCTATCCTGACCAATGATTTCTATGAACTCAGTTTTGATCCTGCTATCTTTCTGCCGAATGCAGATAAAAATGTCTGAAGGATTCAGAGGATACTAGATGAAAGACTTGAGAAAAAAAGACAGGCAAAAACCTGGATTTTGGCCTTTAGGAAAGATGGCTAAAATTCCAAGAGAAATCATATGAAAAATTCCAAGTATGTTTGACAAAGTTCCGCTGGATGGGAATGAAAGTCAGATTGAACTAGGTACTACTACAAGCAAACCAATCTGTGCAGTCCACACATCACAGAACCCAGCACATGA